AACCTTTAAACCTCAAGTTTTCCCAGGAGCCTCCTCCTTTGTCCTCAGAATTCTGTTGCTTCACTGTGGTTATTTGCACGGGCCCTGTTCCCGTTCCTGGGTCTCCTCTGATTCACAAATTCATCAAACATTTACTGATTTTTGCTGCATGCCCAGGCCCTGAGGGAAGGGATCAGAAGTTAAAGACACAGTCCCTGTCCTCAGAGAGATCAGTGAGAAAGACAAGCAGGCAGATGCAACAGTCCAAAGAGCTCAGTTGTCAAAGATGAACAAAGCTGGACACTGAATTGGTAAGAACAGATGTTAGTCAGTGACCTACTATTGCCATGGGAAGAGGGACCGGTGTGAACTGCACTCAGACTTGGATTTGTATAGAGAAAGACAGGGTGTTTTACAAGGACACTGAAGGAGTGGGGTGGGGTGTGAGTTGCGGGCTCAGGAGAGGCAGGGAAGTGAGAAATTACAGAGCTGGCCAGTGTCAATGCTGAGTAGGCCAGTGGGTCTGCTAGTTGGCAATCCTTGAAGTTAGGATTCTGTCCTCCCACAGAGACTGGGAGACAGAGGCCCTATCTGTCCTGCTGACGGTTTAAAGGAATGGCTTTCAGGTCCTGAGTTATAGGATGGAGGGAGGGATGGATGGATGCATGGATGGAGAGAGAAAGAGAGAGAGAGAGACAGAGAGAGAGAGAGAGAGAAAGAGGCACTTAGAGAGAGAGAGAGAGAGACATCTCAAATGGACAGAGGAAGGATTCATTACTGTGAATACTTTTGAGTAAATGCTGTAAGAAAGGATGGTCAGGGGCCCAATTGTCAGACATTGGTTAGAACAAACAGGAAATTCTTTTGGCAGCCTGAGCTGTCTCAGGCAGTTTAAGGGGGGCTGGGGTCAGCCTAGAGATATGGTCGTGAGTTGTTGGAAACCATGTTAAATATTTAACCTTTTCAGTGTGGGGGGATGGGGTGGACGGAATCATTTGTGTTGAGAGTCTGTAGTTTTTATTGGCCAAAGTTGAAATCTAGTAGATAAGTGGGCTCAGAGGAGCCTGGCTAGAATTTGGTCAAACACAGTCTTTGTCACAATGCTGTCCTGGAGGTGTGTGCGCACATGTGTGCGTGTGTGTGTGTGTGTGTGTGTGTGTGTGTGTGTGTGTGTAGGGAGGAGCGGGTAGCTTGACTTAGATCAATCCCAGTAAACCAAACGAGTCCGCTTAGGAAAGGGAAGAGGGAAGGGTAAGAGCAAGGGCAGGTCCAGGTTTATGGGGCCTAAAACACATACCATTAGAGGGCCTTCCTTTAAAAAACACAACAAATTACAAACTTAGGTAGAGGGCCTCAGGGTAGGCGTGGCTGGGGCATGTACGTAAGGGGACCCAAAATGTAAGCTTCTCTTGGTTCATGGCAAACTGACCTCTTGGGAAGGTATGTTCCAGGCTGTGTGAACAGCGGGAAGGAGGGCATGGGGGATAGAGACGGCCTGGCATGTTTAGGGAACTGAAATAATTCAAAACTGGGTTTCATTGCAGGATACACAAGAGGTAAAGCTGAAGAAATGTTGAGGCTCTAGTAACAGAAGGATATCTCAGTCTTCCTAGGACTATGGATTTTACTCTGTCCACTGTGAGGAGTCCCTGTGGGATTTTAGGTCGAGGGGTGGCTCTATGACTTATCCACATAATAGAAAGATCACTCTGGGAGGAAGTGTGAATGGGCTGGAGCCCAGGAAGTCTGGTGGAGACACCGGGTAGGCCAGGGCACTCCTCAGTGAAGACCACTCATCAGTGAAGACCGAGGAATCACAGCTATGAGCTCAAAACAGATGCCAGGGTCGCGGAGAGAGCTGTTCCTCACCAAAAACATTTCTAGATTGGTATTTATTTAAGTTTAAAAATATACTTACATTTATTTTGGTGGAAAAGATGCCCAAGCTAGCAAATTCTTTTTGATTAATATTGCATGGTACAACATTTCATTCTTTTTTTAAAAAAAAATATTTTTATTGATTTCAGGGAGAGGGAGAGAGGGATAGAAGCATCAATGATGAAGGAGAATCATTGACTGGCTGTCTCCTGCATGCCACACACTGGGAATCGAACCGTGACCTTCTGGTTCATGAGTCGGTGCTCAACCACTGAGACACACCGGCCAGGCCAACATTTCATTCTTAATAGAAAATTCGATTTTTGGTTTATTTGTCCCTGGGTATCATGCACATAAAAAGGAATAGATTTTAAAATGATG